ACATGTGTCAGCTAATATATTTTTAGATTCTGTACACAGACTGTCATGAGGTTTGTTTTTGTGCTTGCCCATTGTTTGTCTTGCTGTAGATTATATGTGATCATTATATGCTTCTAGTTGTTGCCGATGAAAAAACCTTTTAAATCTTGTCAATTTTAGGCCTTACATTTTGGTTGCAAGATAAATGCAAAGGAAATAGTGTATAATTTTCTGTATTATATGAGAATATTAAGACTTTATTTTGCTAAATAAAACCAAAATAATACTATTCACAATGTTGTTAAAACAATACAAATAAGTTGATATTTCCTAATTGCACTGTGATATTATTTACTTCCGCAATATGTAAGCAGCGATACCCTATACAAGATGCCCATATGGAAACTGGATCTTACATAGAATTACCAGATTTTACTAATTTCATGACGTAAAGTCATGATTTTATAAAGGACACGGAGGCGAGTATTATGCTTTTCTCTTTCTTTTATTCCTCAGCAGCAAAAGAAAATATTGTGTGTGTGTGTATATATATATATATATATATATATATATATATATTCAATGAAAAAAAAAAAGGAAAAAACAATTCAATAACACTACATCATTACTCTTAAAGGGTTAACCAAGTACCACATATGAACAAATCAGAGTGTCCCTATTAAAATAAAGTCCCATGTGACCCTAAGCCACTCCTCTTTCTTTTGGTGTTGCCGATGGACACTCCAATAGCTCGCAATGATATAACCAGTAGCTGTATAAAGAACAATGAGTCCAGTAGAAGATGACATCGGAAAAAAAAACCAGAAGAAAAAAAACTCCATACGAACACATCCGGCCATGCATGGACCATTATGGCACTCCAATTAGGAAGCTGTAAAACAGAGAAACGAGATGGAAAAATATGTTCTTGGATAATATTTTTCCACGTTCATATTCCAACACTATCTAAACACTAGATCATTCTCCTGTTATTTAATCAAATGGAAGTAAAATAACACATTATCACATGGCTCAAGTCCCATAACATACCTTACATTCCCAGAGGAGGGCAACTTACCGCTATTGGGTGAGATAATACTCGCCTCCGTGTCCTTTATAAAATCATGACTTTACATCATGAAATTAGTAAAATCTGGTAATTTTATTAAAGGACACGGAGGCTCTTATTATGCTAGTTCAAAGCTGTGTGATCACTGACGTGGAAAAATGGGAAACCGGGCGGAAATAAAATTCCCGGAATGTAGATTCTCTCGACCAATCGGCCGCTCGGAGGAGATCTTCCACTTTACAGCCTAAGGAAAAAGCTTTTGATGCCATCGCACCCCTCACTGAATGTGCTCCATATGTGGAAGTATTAATGCCTGCCGACGTCATGATCCATTTGACCCAGCGGGATATGGTGACTGTAGAAACCCGGACAATGTGGTTGTCGAATAGCCAGGAACAGGTCCGCATATTGAGGGTCTCAGACCACCGCCATCTTTGTTTCATACTCCTTGAGACAGGCTTCTGGGCATAAATTACTGTTATGTGGAAAAGCTGGGTAAAAACCCTTGTGATAGACGTTTTCGTACATCTCGATATATCAAAGGCCACCCCTTCCACTGTATATGAGCGTGCCTGAATGTCCAATGCTCGTACATCTGAGACCCGTTTACATGAGATGAGACAAAACAGCATAACCAATTCTGCGGTGAGTTGCTTGATCGACAGGTCTTCGTTCCTTGGCCAATTTTCAAAAAGTCGGAGAACGAGGCTCACATCCCATAACTCGGAATACCTAGGCCGTGGTGGTCGTGCAAATTTGATGCCACGTAGGAGTCGACATACCATCGGATGTTTCCCTGTTTGAATTCCATTCCAACCTATGTGGCCTGCTGAGATAGCTGATCTATATAGATTAATTGTACGATACGCCAGGCCGTGGTCGAAAAGTGAAGTGAGGAAACCCAAGACTTGACTCACAGTTGCAGATATGGGATCCACGTGTTTTTCCACGCACCAACTATGCCATGCGTTCCAGGCATACAAATATGATTTCTTTGTACCTGGGGCTCCTGCCAGTAGGTCCAGAGTTGTTTGTGGAACATTTGGGATGTCAAAGAGTCCCCTGAGAGGAGCCATGCCAAAAGCTTGAGATGTCCCTGCAGTATGAGGGGATGTGGATTGCCATAGGGATCCAGGAGAATGTTGGCGTGTACCGGTAGTAACCTCAGGAGATCTATGGAGAGTTCCAGGAGTGTAGGGAACCAGGGTTGAGACGTCCAGAAGGGAGATACAAGGATTAGGGAGTTCCGGTGTCATCTGAGGTGCAGCAAGGTCCGTGCGATGAGAGAAAAAGGGGGGAAGGCGTAATGTTTGGCGTTCGGCCACTGTTGTCGGAAAGCGTCCATCGCTAGAGCCTCCGGATCCGGCCTCCAACTGAAAAACCTCAGTAATTGTTTGTTTAATCGTGAGGTGAACAGGTCAATATCCAATGGCCCCCACAGTGATTGCAAATGGCTGAAGGTGGCCGGGTTCAGCCGCCAGTCGCTGGCATCTCGTATATGTCTGGAGTTCCAGTCTGCTACTACATTGCTCATCCCCGGGATGTATTCCGCTTGCACTGATATGTTGCGATCCAGGCAGAACTGCCAGAAGTCCTTCGCTAATTCCGCATGTATTGCCGACCTCGTGCCCCCGAGGTGGTTGATATAACGGACCGCTGAAACGTTGTCCATACGTAACAGGATGGAACAGTTGGTCGACACGTTTAAAAGACTCCGTAGAGCAAACAAACCTGCCAACAGTTCGAGGCAATTGATATGAAGTCCCTGTTCCTCTATGGACCATCTTCCTCCGGTGGAGAAACGTCCGCAGCGCGCACCCCAACCGAGCAAACTTGCATCGGATTCCACTATGAGGCCTGGGGCTGTTCCAAAGTTCGCATGGCCATTCCAGGCTTCCATGTGCTGTAGCCACCACTTGATTTCGTCTTTGGCGGCACAGTCGAGAAGAACAGAATCTGAGTACAAGTGCCCCAAACAAAGGTATTTTGCCTTTAGTCATTGAAGTGCCCTGTAGTGTAGGGGTCAGGGCAAGATGGCCTGAATTGACGCCGAGAGGAGGCCGACAATCCTGGCCAGTTGTCTCAAAGTAAGGACAGGACGTGCTAGCGTCCGCCTGAGCTCCTTTTTGATGGCCTTGACTTTGGCCGTTGGGAGTAGGAGTGTTCCGGTCACCGCGTCTATGGTGAATCCCAGGAATTCTATTGCTTGCGAGGGTTCGATGACCGACTTCTCCCAATTGATCAGAAAACCCAGGTTTTCTAACAGATTTCTCATCCAAGAAAAATGTTCGTGCAACAGATGCGGGTCCTGCGCCATGATGAGGATATCGTCCAGGTATATTATGAGCCGCACTCCCCTGCTGCATAGGAGGGCGACCACTGGTTTCATGAGCTTTGTGAAGCACCAGGGGGCCGATGAGAGACCGAACGGTAGGCATTTGAATCGCCACATTACCATCGGAATTGCAGGAACTGTTGGCAGTCATCGGCCATTAGGACCGTGAGATATGCGTCCTTTAAGTCGAGTTTGAACATCCAATCCCCTGTGAGGAGGAGGTCCCGGAGAGAGTGTATACCTTCCATCTTGAAGTTATGGTATGTGACAAACATGTTTAAAGGTCTCAAGTTGATGACTGGGCGAACGCCTCCGCCTTTTTTGGGTACCAAGAATAGGTTGCTTAGGAAACCCGGGGTGAGAGGGTGGATTGTATAAATTGCCCCCTTGGAGGCTAGGGCCTGGACCTCTTGGGTTATCAACTCTTGATCCCGAGCGGGGAACACCATGCGGTTGGGGGATTTCAGTTGAACAGGGCATTGCACAAAATCTATAGAGTAGCCCTGGACCGTGTGGAGCACCCAGGCATCCACAGTGAGCCTGCGCCATGCCTTGACAAAATGGCCCAGTCTGCCCCCACCATTGTGAATGACAACATATGAGGAGGTAGTGCACTTACCATAAGGTCGTCGGGCATATGAAGAACCTCTGGATCCTCGGGGTTGCCACTGTCTGCCTCGAACGGGGAAGAACGGTGAGGCTTGTTTGGGTTCCGGAGGTGTGAATCTGGATTGTACGGAGCCACGAGAGCCCCGGTATGAGCTCCGGAGCGAGCGGCCCGGCAGACGTCCCCGATATCTGCCGGCCCTGCCAAAAACTCTCTGATGGAACACTGGCTTCATGTTGGCTTGAGCCTTATCAAGTGCCGTAAAGGTGCCCACATACGTGCCTAGTTCTTTCACAAAGTTATCCCCAAATAGGAGGGCTTTTGCCTGGGGACCCGGCTCTGAGATAGCTAGGCTTTACTAGCTTAGGCTCTATTTTAATTAGGATCGCTTTGTGTCTTTCTGTGGCCAACGCCGTATTAGCGTTGCCCAGAAGACATACAGCACGCTGGATCCACCCTCTGAGGGCTTCCAGATCCAGCGGTGCACCTCCTGCCAACGCGATTTCGACCATGTCGAACATCTTCGCGATTGGTCCGAGGATGTCCAATACCTTATCCTGGCAATTCCGCCAGGCAAAATCCAGGCCCTTCTTGGCCTTCCAGCCCGATTTACCCAAAAATTGGGCGATTTTTGGGTCCACCTCCGGGGTGGCACACGCCATATCCGGGATCGTGGGGCGTGGACATTCTGCCCGCAGTTTGTTCCGTGCCACCTTATCCAGTGGTTTTCTGATGCGGGCAGCGATATACTTCGCTACGTGGTCCAGTGGGTACCACTCGGAGGATCTCGGGTGTTGTAGGGTGTCCGGGTTGAACAATGGTTCGCCCTGAGGGTCAACTAGGGCGGAGTCGTCGGCTCCGTCTTTGGGGTCCATATCCGTTAATGTGATGGAGTCAAATTCCAGCATATGATTATTAGAATCATCAGAGTCCTCCTCCTTGGACTCACTCTGTGCCTCCTCTTGCTCCGATTCAGAGTCGGAGGATTCGATTAGGGCCCATTTCCTCACCGATTTTGCCCGGTGTGGGGCTCTAAGTTGTGGTCCAACCACAGGTTCTGTGACAGGACGTGCCCTGTCCATCTGTAGGTTTTTGGAGGCATACTCGTCTAAATGGCGAGACTTTTTAGCAGCTTTACGCCCACTAGGGGCCACCGGTTTGTTTTCTGGGGGGTTAGCCATGGGGTTTGGCGCCAATTGCGTGGCTCTCATCGCATTGGTTATGGAATGAGATAAATTATCCGACATGGCACCCATGGCGGTGAATATGGCCTGGGTCACAGACTTCGCCATAGCCGCGTCTAAGAGAGAATGTAACTCCTCTGAGTCCATATGCTCTTGCGCTGTTTCCAGCGCTGTGGATATTTTGGGCCCTTGCAAGGGTGAGGTGGTTATGGTGGCCCTAGGCTTTGTGGCACTATTTGCTACGTTCTCAGCCTGCATGTCTGGGGTGGGAAGGACAGTAAGTACAGGCAGAATAGTAAAGTATACCCACTAACAGGCTATTAATATGGATGAATCCCAAATAGAATAATACCAAAAGACTAGCAGGCACCAGGCACCAATTTAACCAAATTGCTAATTAGGCACAGACAACAATCAAATTGCAGCAAGCTCACAAGTGTTCCCTCAGGAATAAGCTCCTGGGGAACACCGGAAGACTTGCCGAGCAACAAGGACCAACTCCCGCCCCCAAACGAGCAGTATTGGCCGCGCTAACAAAAGCGCGGCAAAACTGCCAACCCCAAGATGGCTGCCGCGATGCGCACCTGCGGTGTGCGCATGCGCAGGCGGCCGCAGCTGCAGTGACAACCGTGGATCACGGGGACCGCAACCGGCAGCGGTACCCGTGCGAAGGGAAGCCCAGGTAGTGGAGGGAATGGGGGGGAAAACGGTCGGGAAATAAACAAACCGACCGGAGGGGGAAGGGAGGGGAGGAGAGAGGGGAAGAAGTGCAGGGAGGACAAGCCCAATAGGGAGGACAAAACAGGAAAAAGGTATTAACACATCAAAACCTGATATAAGTAAAGGAGGGAACAAGTAATCTGACTGAAACAGCAAAAACACATTTTAACTGTCAGAAACATCGGAGGATAAAAATCTTGTACTTATCTGAGGCTGCAGCAGCAAAAGAAAGAGGAGTGGCTTAGGGTCACATGGGACTTTATTGTAATAGGGACACTCTAATTGGTTCATATGTGGTACTTGGTTAACCCTTTAAGAGTAATGATGTAGTGTTATTGAATAGTTTTTTCCTTTTTTTTTTCATTGAATATATATACAATATTTTCTTTTGCTGCTGAGGAATAAAAGAAAGAGAAAAGCATAATAAGAGCCGTTTAATAAAATCCAGTGCCAGGTAAGGCTTTTCCACGCTCTGTCCCGCTCTCAAGCCATATCACTTACTTCCTCTCAGTGGTCCAATCAAATGCTTCTCATGGAGAAACATTTAATAGGACCATTTGAGTGGCTTAGACCGCATGTGTACACTCTGAGTCAGTAAGAGAAGGGAGGGAGAGAGTGAGGGAAGACACAGGATGGAAAAAGAGGGTGTAAAAATGGCAGATAAAGTAAGTTTAATTAACTTACTGGACATTGCAAGCCTAAAAACATCTAAAAAAAAAAAAAAAACATCCATGTGCATATTTCTGCTTGTAATGTATGGTGTTTGAAACTGAGTATAGTGAGTGGATGTGCCTGTGTAAATGCATGCAGGGTAAGATAATGTTAGAGATGTTAAATGGGATAAGGTTAAATGGGGGTTAAGGTTTGAGAGAGATTAACATCAGAGTTAGATTACATAGGGTGTTTACTGTTCAAAAGATTAAAAGCTGGAGAGTGATTCAAGTTATAATATAAAGGCTATTTGGGATCATTGAGTTTATGGCTAGAGTTAGGTTATATTAAGTATTGGGGTACATGAGATGTTTAAATGTTAAGATGAGTTAAACATACAATAAAGATAAATAGTATATTTTTAAGTTTGGAATTTGAGTGTTGGGATTTGAACGTATTTGCAAATTACCCACCCTTGAAGAAGCCAACTATCTGTAGCTGATGACAGATGTGATTTTTGCACATAATTAATATAAGACGGCTCAGACCAAAGTTCCATAAGTCACGAGTGTCGGGGTGCAACTAGAACCCAACACAATATTGCAAATATTTCAATTTTAGCAGCATTTCAAACAGAAGCTCTACACTCACAGATTCTTACCACCATAACCACTCCTAAAAGCAGATGCGGCCATGATGGCTGGAGAACCCTATAACAAGTTTATGTAATAAGAAACATATGTACCTTGCATAGCAGAAAATCACAGTTTCACAATTTGTATACACTGCAACTATCTCCTGCTAAGGCCAATTACAAGTATGCATGCTCAATGTGAGCTTTTTTAATGGCAAGGAATGGTTGCTAAAATGACATCATGCATAGTATGTGTTTCTGTGATTTGCCAGGGTGTGATTGAAAACAAGTGTTTTTGGTATCTTTGAAAACACGTGTTATTGGTTGTCAGAGGGTTAAAAAGGGACAAGGTTGGAAATCAGCAGGTAATTAGTAACCACTGCTAACTATTCACTGTTGTTAATAGCGACAGCTTACTGCAAACACGTTTTCCTGACACTATATCATCCTTAGTCCCCCCACCCCCCTCACCCTCAGGGCTCAAAGGGGATAAAACCCCTTCAACCACTTACCTTAATTCAGCACCGGGCTCCCTGGTGACCTCACCTCCCCCTCCGACATCAGCTCCCGACTGGAGCCGAATGCGCATGCGCAGCAAGAACCGTGTGCACATTAAAAATGCCCATAGGAAAGCATTTCTCAATGCTTTCCTATGGACGTTCTGCATGCTCAATGCATTGTTTTGGGGGGGGGGGTGGGGGTTTGCATTGAGCGTCACGGAAGCGCTTCTAGTGGCTGTCAGGAAGACAGCCACTTGAGGCTGGATTAACCCTGCAATGTAAACACAGCAGTTTCTCTGAAACTGCCATGTTTACAGCTGCATGGTTAAAACCTGGGGGACCTGGCACCCAGACCACTTCAATGAGCTGAAGTGGTCTGGGTGACTATAGTGGTCCTTTAAATGTTGGAAATGTATCAGATCATGATTTGCCTTGGAGCTAATTTGCTTTATAACCCTGTGCATTAAAGAACTTAAAGGGGAATTGTAATTTGTCATAATGTATTTTATGATAGTGGAGCACTTAAATGTGTTTTTGTACAAAGTGTAAATCACTATAACAATCATAAAATATTTATAACACTTATTAATAAAGTACTTATGCAATATGTGCAATTTTTGATTAACAGAAATTAAAGTGAAGAACCATGAATGTGGGTGATAAAGTTCTTCTATGTATAATATGTGCAATCAATTTTGCAAGTGCAAGACCAAAAAGTGCATTTAATAATTTTGTGGTAGGAACTTAATAGTAAACGTGACAGTAGAAGAAGTGGTAAGTTGGTAGTGTTGTGCCGATACCAACGCGGGTAGGCCTATATAAAGAGAACCTACCAAGGAAAAGAGGTGTAATAGTCTAATTAAATTAAGGGAGCGATGGCTGGGGCCACTCGAACGAAAAAATGGTGCAGGTTAGCAGGGGAGACTGCGTTTTATAGGACAAACTCCTCCCACAAATTCAGGCCTATGGCATTCTACTTGTGGTCCAAACCTCATAGAAAATGTTACAGTAGAAGGAGTGGTAAGTTGGTAGTGTTGTGCTGATACCATAGTACGGGTAGGCCTGTATAAAGAGGGCCATAAAGGTATTGGGGAAAAACACACTTTTAGCATGCTTACAAAGAAGCATAATCTAAGCAATGAATACAGGGAATGCCATCTATTCAATTTAATGAAGTGGATTGGATAAGTTGGATGGAAGCTGTTGCGTGTGGGAATGCATGTTTCTAGTATTAACAGAGGTCTTAATAGACATCTGTCGGGAATAGTATTATTGTGGTTGAATGGTTGGCCTGGTTAGTTTGGAAATCTTTAAGGGTAAGAGTGTAGGGGGCGATGTGTTTGACAAGGTCAGAGTGTATGTCATAATGGTATAGCACTGTGATTTCGTGAGAAACCATGGAAGGCAATGTAAATTGCTACTTAAATAACTGTGTTATCTTTACCATTAAATGGTTTGGTATCCAATACATTGGAAAGGCTCCTGAATATATGTGCTGTTATGAGTAGTCTAATGGACGAAAGAGAATGATCTGTTTGTGCTGCCTTCGGAGATTGTTGTAATGAGTTATGAGGAAAGAAAGGGTGAATGATTGGGAAAAGTAGTGAAGTGTTTTGTGCTAATTTTGTAACTGGGAGAAAGGCCCAAAAGTCATCATAGATAATGTATAAAATAAAAGAAACAGGTAACACAGTATATATATTTATATGAAATACACTTGTGGGTTGTTACACACTAAACCAGAGAGACTAAAGGTAAACACAGGTAATAAGTACTGAGACATGATACAATGAGAAAAATGACTGGGACATAGCAATACCAGGGTACTCTTTATATAGGAAAGATAGGGAAGGCAAGAAAGGGGTAGGGGTGGCCTTGTATGTGAAGGATAGCATAAAATCTAGCCTAATAAAAGTTAGTGAGGCAAACATAGAGTCCGTTTGGGCTACGTTAGAATTTGGTAATCACACAGTAACTTGTGCAGGTGTGATTTATAGGCCCCCAGGACAAATTGAAGAGTTAGATAATCTACTAGTTGAGGAAATAGCTAAAATGACAATAAAGGGGGAAGTTATCATCATGGGTGACTTTAATCTTCCTGATGTAAATTGGAAAACAAAATTAGCTACTTGTGCCAGGAGCACACATATTCTAAACTCCCTACTGGGATTGTCTCTAAAACAAGTTGTTGAGGAGCCAACTTGTAAAGAGGCCATACTAGATTTAGTGTTAACAAATGGAGATTTGGTATCAGATGTTACTGTAGGTGAAAGTTTAGGATCCAGTGATCACCAGTCAGTGTGGTTTAATATAAGAACAGTGACTGAGTCACACCACACAAAAACAAAAGTTTTAGACTTTAGAAAAACAGACTTTTCTAAAATTAGAATATGGGTAGAGGAGTCATTATCGGACTGGAGCAATTTAAATGGAGTCCAAGAAAAATGGGATTATTTAAAAGTTGCACTATTGAAGGCAACAGAAAATTGCATTAGGCTTGTCAGTAAAAGCAAAAAATTCAAGAAACCATTGTGGTACTCCGCAGATGTGGCCAAAATAGTTAAAAACAAAAAGTTAGCATTTAGGAATTATAAAAAAACCCAGAGTGAGGGAGACAAAATGATCTATAAGATTAGGCAGAA